GTGGCAGCGCTGCCTGGGCTGCATCGAGGAGCTCCTGGAGCTGCGGGGCCGATCTATAGGATCAGGGTTGATCTATAGGGTGGATCTGTGGGTCAGGGTGGATCTATAGGTCAGATCTATGGCTCTCACAGGATCCATAGGATGGATCTATAGGTTATTTCCCCATAGGCAGAGCTGTGGCAGCGCTGCCTGGGCTGCATCGAGGAGCTCCTGGAGCTGCTCTTCGCCCACCCCGAGATCTTCGTGGGCGAGAACGTCCTGGAGGAGTCGGAGAACCTCAGCAACCCCGAGCAGGTATAGGAACCTATGGACAACCTATGGACAACCTATGGAATCACCTCTGGGGGCACCTGTGGGGGCACCTGTGGGGTTTGGGGGTCACTTTTGGGGTCATTTTTGGGGTTTTGGGGTCACCTGTGGGGTGTGGGAGGGGTTGGAGAACCTCAGCAACCCCGAGCAGGTCTGGGAACCTATGGACAACCTATGGAAAACCTATGGAAAACCTATGGAAAACCTATGGAAAACCTATGGAATCACCTGTGGAATCACCTGTGGGGGCACCTGTGGGGTTTTGGGGTCACTTTTGGGGTTTTGGGATCACTTTTGGGGTAATTTTTGACTTTTTGGGGTCATTTATGGGGTTTTGGGGTCATTTTTCAGGTTTTGGGGTCACTTTTGGGGTCACTTATGATTTTTTTGGGGTCACTTTTGGGGTTTTGGGGTCACTTTCGGGGCTTTTGGGTCAGTTATGGGGTTTTGGGGTCGTTTTTGACATTTTGGGGTCATTTCTGGGGTTTTAGGGTCACTTTTGGGGTTTTAGGGTCATTTTTTGGGGTCACTTTGGGGTTTTGGGGTAATTTCTGGGGTTTTAGGGTCACTTTTCTGGTTTTGGGGTCTTTTTTAGGGTCACTTTTGGGGTTTTGGGGTCACTTTTGGGGTTTTTCGGTCACTTTTAGGGTTGGTTTTGGGGTAATTTTGGGGTTTTTGGGTCACTTTTCAAGATTTTGGGGTCAGTTTTGGGGTTTTGGGGTCACTTTTGGGGTTTTGGGGACTTTTGGGGTAATTTCTGGGGTTTTGGGGTCACTTCTGGTTTTGGGGTCACTTTTGGGGTTTTGGGGTCACTTTTGGGGTCATTCATGGGGTTTTAGGGTCATTTATGGGGTCAGTTATGGGGTTTTGTGGTCAGTTTGGATTTTTGGGGTATTTTTGGGGTAAATTTTGGGGATTTTGGTGCATTTCAGCCGTTCCGGGTCCGCGGCTGCGTCCTGACCCTGGTGGAGCTGCGGGGTCATTTTTGGGCTCATTTTTGGGATTTTAGGGTCATTTTTGGGGTCGGTTATGGGGTTTTAGGGTAGTTTTGGGATCAGTTTTGAATTTTTGGGGTAAATTTTGGGGATTTTGGTGCATTTCAGCCGTTCCGGGTCCGCGGCTGCGTCCTGACCCTGGTGGAGCGCATGGACGAGGAGTTCACCAAGATCATGCAGAACACCGACCCCCACTCCCAGGGTGGGTCTGGATTTGGGGCTCGGCCCCAAAAATCCCAAAAATCCCAAAAAAACCCCAAAAAACCCAAAAAACAAAAAAAAATCTCAAAAAATGTGAATTTTTGGCGATTTTTTGGCCGATTTTCACTTTTTTTAGCCAATTTTTATAGTTTTCACTTCAAATTTTGG